TGTTTACTTGATGTTGTTACACAATACACAATGGTCTTTGGTATATGCTTAAGCGAAGCGATTTTATTGTTAATTTAATTTCATAAATAATAATTAAAGACACTTTCCCGTATGTATCATTAAAATTTATTTGAAACAATAAACAAAGCACTGTTGTTGCAGTAGCGGTCGTAGCTAGTCGAGATGAAAGGAAGTAAATTGTACTGTAACGAACATTTAATGATTTATTAATACTTTTTCCTGCTAATATGATGAAGAAAATTGAAATAAATTTTATTTCCATTTTAAATCCATTGAAAAAGTAGCTGAAAAGATAGCAATCATAATTGTCTTTTGGGCTGTCTCAACCGCTATAAATGAAAGTTTTAAATTTATTTTTGCATGTTGAGTTTCATAATTCATCGACCTTATTATAAGTTACTTTTAATTAAGAAATATATATTTTCTTTACTGCCCTTAAGATCTCTCTTAAAGTGCTCACGATTATGTCACACATTCAATGCCAATGCGGCAGATTTAAGGTTCGAAAGGAATTGAAAGAGTTAAGTTGGTCTGTTTGAAACTCAACTGATAAAGAGCTTTTGGAATGGCTCTTGACAATTAAGCTAGTTAAAATTTATTAGTCAACATCTGACTGAGACATTTTTTTGACATGCCTGTAATGTCTTTGTTATTGCCTCTCCAAAGCAGAGGAAACGCAAGTATGACTTGAACCAATGTGAGTGGTAGCTTAGCTAGAAGAATGAAAGCTTTATACCATCGAATTTTAATTTGTTAAAAGTTTTTAACCTAAAATTTCAACAAAGACTTGAATTGTAGATCAGTTCTCACGACTCTCCAATGTCACGAACTCAAAGCTGAATTCCAAAATGCACAAATCAGCCTTAAACATCCAAAACGATTAGAATCTTTAAATATTTCCCAAATATTATGCAAAGTTAATAAAATCGACAAAAATAATTCAATTCCCAAAGTCAAACCTTCAGCACAAGCTAACAAACGTTTTCTCACAAACAATTCCATCTTGCCTGACCTTCATCACATCAAAAGACAAATTATCACAATCATCCAAGATGACAAAATACACTCACGAGTCACATAAATTCGACAAAAATTGTAATCAATAAGGAAGAACAAAAACAATCCTCGCAATTGTAATTCAAGACCATTAATACATGCTGCTGCTGTGCGTATTCGTGCTGAGATATAAATACAGCAGCAGAACAATACAAAAAAAATTCAATAAAAATGTCTCGAACGAGAGTGTCTGATAAAAGAAGAGCGCAAACAATAGTTTATATGAGAAAAAATGGAAGACCACACTAAATGCTATAATATATATTATTTACATGAACATAAAAGCACGGGAAAGAGTGAAGATAGAGACAAGTGGAATCAATTACGCAACATGCATGTGTGGAAGCAATCGATACATCTAATATTGAAATTTTCCTATAGAATATTGAGAGACATTTTTATAGATGGAATTTATTTATGAGACTGTCTATCATGCATTCACATTGAAGACGATGGATGAGGACATGACTTATTCTATCGCTTCTTCTATGCTGTAAAATGTTTCGAATATTAACAATGTCGCTTCGACACGTGCGATCGATTTATTCTAAAATGACCTTAACTTTTCCATTTTAAGAAGATTCTGAGATTGTTTTGTATCCAAACTGAATGTGCTCATCGTGCTTTCACAAACATCCACTTCTGTGGAGCACAGCTTTGAGGATTTCAATTGTTTCAAGTCTTTATCTTGTTACGATAAGAAGCACTTTCTTAAATCAGTTCACGTACCTACGCAGAAAAGTTTCTCGCTAAGATTATGTAAGAAGTTTTTGAATGGCTTTGAGATTTTTTTTTCTCATCTTGAAAATTAAATACTTTTGATATTATTTTTATTTTTGTGCTCATTTAATTTTTCTGAGGAAATTTTGATTTCAATTTGTCAATTTAATCGAGAGAAAAATTGAATTTATTTTAAATAAATAGGTTGAATATCTCAACAAGATTGTTGCCAAGACTATCTAGTCGGTGAATTACTAAAATTGAGGAAAAAAATATAAATAACCCCCTCCTCTTGCTAATAGCAAACTTAATAGTCACCCGACTCACAAAAAAATATTTCATTTCCGAAATTTTAAATCATTCTTAGAGAAATCGCTTGTTTTGATGTTTGCTGGATGAAGAATTTATTTTGAGCATCTAAAAGAATTTTAATGGATTCGTTGGAATTTATTTGATCATGTATGCACGTGTATCTATGTCAATTGATGTAATATTTATAATTTTACTTTGAAAAAAAAAATCAAGAGAATTTGTCAGTTAAAGAATTGGTAATTTATTCACAAATCTGAATGAAATTGCAGAATTATTTGACTAGCTAGCACAATAGAAGCTTCATTCATATTAACAATAAGAGAATTTTTAAACATTAAAAGCTGTTGCAAGAAATCATTAAATGTTCTATGAACCCCCAATTATCGAAGTTTAAATAACAATCATGAACTGCTCTACTGAAAACAAAACAAAAACCAACCAAAACTAATTAAAATTATGCACAATTTGATCACAATTAAAGCTCAATTTTCCATAAATTAACCCAAAAATTCAACAAACAATAATTTACCAACTAAGCTTGAAATTCTCTTTATTCACCAACAAATCATTCAAAAAAAATATTCACAGACAAAATTGAATTTCCTTCAAAAAAACAATTGAAAATTAAAGAAAATAAAATTTTCAAAAACGACTGAAATGGAAACAATAAAATGAAATTATGCACGCAAAAAAAAGCTCTCCACATTTACATAAAATTAAATTTTTTGAGCTTCCCATTTCACACAAAATGCTCATGTCTGTTGCCCGAAAAATTCTACATTTGAAACCATAAATGGAATTTTTTTGTGAAATTAAGACAAGGTTATGCTGCACACTATCTATCTCAACACACAAAAAAAATGTCTAGTAAAATATCTCTGGAACTACCGCAAACATGAAACTATTGATTGTGTATGTTGAGGATGGAATGTCCTTACATCTTCCATAAAGAGAACATTTATATGCGAATGAATACATTAAGTCTAGGCTAAAGTGGGCAATAAAATCTTACGACAAGGTTTTTATTAGTATTTTTGTTATGTTAAATATATTATATGTAAGGAAGTGTCATTAAGACATGTATATCATTCTTATTCATGGATCTACTGACCGATATTGGACAATTTCTTTTGTTGAAAATTAAGGCATTTTTATTTATTAAATATTAAATTTTTACTATCTTGATGTGTGGGAACTATTTTTGCATACTAAAGTTCAAGTCCGAAATATTTGAAATTCTTAAATATAGCTCGGAATTGGGAATAGCAATTTCTTGTGTTCCAAATTCATCTTGAGTCAACCTTTCCTTAAAATCTTGAAACAGCATAAAACTGCATAAAATCTTAAAAATATAAAGTCATAAACCTTAAGTTGACCTAATAAGTAGCCAACCTTAACAAAAGAAACCCAAAGAGAAACCAAAAGCATCAAAATCCCGCGTAAAAGCATGTTTAAATAATCTCCATCAGTCAATTTTCTGTTATTATTCTTTCAATCCATTTTCATGGTCATTGCACTTTTCTTTTGCACTTTGTTCCACTCTTCTTTTCTTTTAATCTTTTTTTGTAGATCAATCTTTCTTGTTATTCACTCTCTTTTGTGTTGCTGCACAAACAGAGAAGAAACAGCAAGTGAAAGTAATTTATTCGGTCGATAAACACAGGTTTGAGTTATAAAAGTAATAAAAAGAAGGAAAGAGATATTTGCTGACATAAGTTTCGCCGGTAAGCACGTGAATGACATCATAAGAAACATTTAGTGGCTTTGTGGCTTGCATTGTAGATGCCAGCAGCCGTAATTTCATTTCATTGAAATTTAATTGAAAAATAGAACCATGTTGACGGTGATGAGATCAAAGAGAATGTTAAGACAGTACAGCATAGCTCATAATAATTTCTTTTAATGAAATGCCTGCTTCGCTTTCGGCTGCATTTAATAATACATGCACCAACCTTTTGATATTACTGAGTGTGCAATGCACTTGACACGAAGATGGCAAAAGCAAACACGTTAATTAAATTGAAAATTTTTCCTGAACATACTGAACGAGAATGTTTCTACACTTAGTCATTCATTCACTCATTTCATTTCATTTCACTCATTCATTCATACAATATGAATTCAAATGCTGCCATAAAAGTCCTTTTTTTTTGTTCTGTTGTTCACGGCATTTTTTGCACAATAATTGTACTTGAATTTATACTGTCTCGACGTTCCGTTGCCATATACAAAAATAATTCTGATATTACGTGTTATATCTGCAGGGAGAGAATTCATTTAGAAACTGAAAATTCTTGAAATTCCCAGGTACAAATTAAATTTGAAAATGATGTAACATATTTGAGGGTTAAAATTGTATTAACAATTTCAGCAGAATTTGCTCATAAAATTTCCAGAAATTTGTTAAATGAGCTTTCTCTCGAAAGTTTAAAATAACTATAATAAAATACCTGAAAGATTGAAGAATGAGTTTGTGGAACACAAATATTAAATTTTCAAGCTTTTATACTAAGAACTTAAACCTTTTGTTGCTTAAATATATGCAAATAGTTTAAATTCTGTCTATGCCTCCTCTGGCTACATCTTTGCATCTCCACACCAACTTAATAAAAACCTTCTCAAGCTCACAACCATTGCATCATTATGACAATGAATACTTCAAACTTCCCATCCAAACTTCACATTTAAGCACAGGGTAATTTTGATTTTAATTGAAGTATCATTTCCTCGATTCAATTAGAGAGCATCGTCTATAAAAAATTATAATCGTTTTGGATAAAATGGAGATAATTGAACTCATAATACTTATTGATTGTTATGCATTATTGTTATGAGAAATGAATTCAATAAAATTTGCTAATTTGAATGTTTCTTTCCATCTTTGTTTGCAGCTACCGGTTTCAAATATCAATTTTATTGGCGCTAAGCATAACAGCAACAATTGCATCAGCACAAACGCCAGCAAGTAAATTCCAAATTCGTGTCGAAGGAAAGAAGAATGAAAAAGATCAAGAGATATCGCCTGCAACATTACAGCAAATTCGTGCAAGGCAATTAGCAGCACAGCAGCATCAACAGAGTTCAGCTGAATATTACAGTGAAGAAGAAGATGATGATGAAAATGTTCCAGCTCAACAGACATATCATCGAGCAACGCAATCACCTCAGAGACAATATCAACCTCAACAGCACAATCAATATCAACAGCAACAGCATCAACAACAACGAAAGCAACAACAATTAAGTAAGAAGCAACGTGAGGATCTCGAGAAAGAAATAGAAGAGGAAGAACCAGATCATTTAGCACTCTTGCTTGAGGAATCAAAATTCTCATGTAATGATAGAACGACTGGATATTATGCTGATGATACTGTTGAATGTAAAGTCTTCCACTATTGTCAAGAAAACACAAAGCACAGTTGGATATGTCCAGAAGGTATTTCATACATTCATCATTCATTTATTTGTCATGTCCGCATGTTTTGAGAATGACTGACTTGACTGAATTTTCCTATGTTTTTTTTTTCATCTTTTCATCTCATGTAATTTTTCTTCTATGACACAATAGGAGCAACTTTCCATCAAGTACATCTTATTTGTATGCCTCCATCAGATGAGAATATCTGCCAGCAATCCAGTAAATATCATTTCGTAAATGACTATCTTTACAAGCCAATCAACATGGAAGAACATCAATCCAAGCCAAATGTCTCACTCAGGTCTGTATTCTTTTTTAAGTTTTTTTGATGGGGCTGCCTGGGGATTTGGGGTTCTACATGACCGGTTTTTATGTATAAAATGAACCAATTCGTCATGATTTTGATTATATTCTTGAAAAGTAGTCAGTTTAATTTCATAAACTTACAAAGTAACAATTTCCATTCCCATTTCGACTCACAAGCCTTTTTTTTCAATGCTCAAACCCATTAATCCTTGAAATCATGCAAATTTGCAATTTTCACAATTTTTATTAAGCTCATTTAACGAAATCGACATTTATTCCTAATAACAGTCACGATTATGAACAATTCTTATATTTATCAAAATAATCGTGTGCAATATAGTATTTCCGATAATAAAATTATAAGCCATGAAAATGGGTGTTATAAATACGGTCATTGTGCTGATTTCGCTGTTTGAGGTGTCTCGATTACATTTGCACAATAAGCTTTTCTTCATAGAATTGAGTATGTCTATTTTGAGTGTATATCGATAACATACTAACTCCTGTGGATAAATTCCTTCTTGATGGATAAATACATACTCTTTTTTTTCGCAAGTCAGCTAAATGTAATATTTTTTTCTGCTCGAGACTACTTCAGGGGTAGTTGAAGTCATTTTACCCTTAAAATAATTCGCTCATGCTCGAATCAAATTCCAATTTGAACAAATGTTGTGCTTGTGAATGGAACCTTAAAGTGAGGATTAAAGCTGCTATATCGAAATGGCTAGAAGAAGAACTTTTGGATAGGCTTTTTTTTATTGAATGAACAGATTTTATTTATAGAATGAAGAAGGTTGGATTTGAAGATGTGATTTTTATGCTTTAAGAAAAGTTTGCCTTAAAACTAAAATAGAATCGAATTTTTCTGTTAAAGTCACATCCCTTGGATCATATATATTCCAGATCTGATAACAAAAGTTAATCCAGAATTTTTACAATAAGCTAGAAATTCTTTACGATTGTAATTTCCGGATCTAACATACATTCAACATTCACATAAGATAAAAATTCTGCTGACACAATTTTGCGTAAATAATAATTTTAAAAAATCCCAAAAAGAGCCCCATTGGAACCTCTAATCAACATGAAAGTAAATTTTCCTCTATTGTCAAATTTTTCATCATTCACAGATACCACGAGAGATATTATCCAGAGAATATTTACCATGATGACCGTTCAGAATATGATGAGGAGCGTGAACGTGCCCCTGTCAGACAGCAAGTAAGTAGGCAAAAAGGAATCCATTCACATATATGTGTTATCAGAAAATTAGAATCTCTAGGAGCTCATTTTTCACAAAAAGCAACAACAACAACAAAAAAAGACATTTCTAACTGTTCATTTTACATTTTTTTCCTTTCATTCTCTTTTGTTCCTGTGTGTGCTCACGATCCATAGCCAAAACCCGTTGTCAGAACACAACAGAATGCCTACCGGCAACAACAGCAGAACGCTTATCGCTCACCAGATGAAATTAATATTTCCTTACAACAGCGTCGCCCATATTTTGCACAAACGACAACACGCTATGAGGATGAGGAGCAATATAACTACGAGAAATAGGTTAAATGTTGATTCTAGACGAGTTAACTCGCTATGAAAGCTTAGAAATTAATTCTAGGATTTAACATAACCTAAATTTTTGACATTTTTTTAAATACTCGTTTTTATTATTTATCCTCGTTATTTTCATCCGTTTAAGCTCATCCAAATATTTGACAGAAAATTATTTTAATAAAAAAAAAGAAGATACAAACTGGAATGCAAGGACACGCTCATCATCAACATTCCATACCCTCCATTTCAATTATAATGTAAATTTACAAAAAAGATTTTTCTTTTCAAGTTGTTAGAAAAATCAAAAATTTTTGCAGAGACTTTATTGGATGAGACTTTTTTTTAAGTACACGTACATTTTTATTTGATGTGTTTACATTTTTTATTTCCGAACTGTAAAGTAAAGAGACGAGAAAAGTTAAATTTTTGAAGGCAAAAGAGATTAAACTGTAAAGACAAAATTGTTTTCATTCATATCTGGTGCTCTCTATCTAACTGACTTTGCTGTCTCTTTTTTAAGGCTGATTTCATTAGGATGGATATTTTTTTTTATCGGATCAACTCTTTTTTTATTTGAAGAGATTCTCGTGTCAGAATTTAAATTTTAATTAAAAATGATTTTTTTTTTGATTTCTTTCTAAAATCATATTGGATCCTCAATTACCTTAAGGAGATAGTGTGGTAAAGTATCGAATTCAATTCGTTTAACGTCTGGAGTTCTGAAAATTTTAGTAAAATGAAATTTGAATATCTCAGAAGTACAGCTTTGGCATCAGTTTCATGAAATAACCTTATAAAATTTCGCAAAATTAGCTTTTGGCCAAGAATTGTATCTCAAATGTTATAGGATCTCTAATTCAAGTTCAATTCCTTGCAGACAACGAGATTAAATCTTCAAATTTGAGTTAATGGAGAATTTGGAGATTTAATTGAAATTCAAGCAGCTAGGAATTTTCTAAGTTGATAAAGCTATGATTTGTAAGATCTGATTTCAAGTGCTTATGTTGGCATTCTATCCTAGAATCGAAAATTTGTCATGCTCCACTCTTTGGTATTGATAAATTTAACTGAAATAAGGTAGATACTCTAAGAATCTGCTCAGCCAATAAAAGTTACACCCACCCATCCAATTCCCCTAAGTTGAATTTAATTCACACCATTTGATTTTCCATTCCAATAAATAATTTCCTCAAAAATAACAAAATGATAAAATTATTCATCATATCCAAAATCATTTAATATCCAAAAGAATTATCCACATCAGTGATATCAGCCGTCCATACATTTTAGTAATAAGCATAAAAATTTTGTGTAATTTCTTTTTAAGATATTTTTTATATCTTCTTCAGTAAACAAACGAAGTTTTTCATCTCACTCGAGAAAAAAAAAATGTGAGGCATGTTTATGACTTTTTTTCGGCTGAAAATTTTTTTTTATTAAAAAGAAAGAGAAATTTGAAAATAAAAAGAAAAAAATTAATTTATTAACAAATTGACATAATTGAGCATTTGTTTTGATTGCTTTGGGATTTCATTTAATGTTTCAGATTTATGGATTATTGTAGCTTAAGGGTAGTGGCTGATGGACTGAGAAAAATGTTGTGTTTCGAAAAAGCGATTTTTTTGAATATTCATCTGCAATAGTAAGAAGAACCAGCCTCGGAACCTCATTACTTCCTTAATCAATAGCTACCAGATTCCTGCTTCATGACTAACCCAGTACAGACCCTGGACAGACTTCCTGATCCAAAATAATATTCCCATTAAAGTCTCAAAAAGTTTTAAATTCACGAAAAGCTCTCAAAATGAAAATGAACACAAATTTAAAAGCAATTACTTAAGATCTTCCGCATCCTAATAATAGTAATTGAAAATCAATTCACAGCCTGAAGCAGAATCAAAAATAAGCTCAAGTACTATAGAAATTTCGATGGTTATTATATTAAAATTCCCAGAACAAGAGCTATAAAGCCGTATTTTATTTCCGATATTTTTGGAAAGTTTCGAGATTCTTAAATTATAGCGAGCAACCCAAATTTATAGCATTTCCACTTCATTTACTTAAAACCTAGCAACATCTTTTTAATTTTGACTAATGAATCATCTCTTAGCAAACAATTTCCTGCCTCCCTCCAGACTTTCTTTCAATATGCTGTCATACCTTTTTCTACATGAATCGTTTATGTCCATATTTACGTACACACAGTGAAATCGAGAAACATTTATTGCTTTGCTGTATCAGATGGGTCTCGTTCTAATGGTGAATTTTTTCTAATGGTTGAATTTCGTCACATCTCAGATTATTCCCGTGAGAATTTAGATAAATGATAAAATATTCAGGAAGGGCTTTTTGGAAGAACAGGTAAGTGGATGCCAGGTTGGAAATCGATGGTTATACATTTAATGTAAAAAGAAGGACGGGGGAGGATTAAATTAAGCTAACGACGACGAACCAACGTGACTCTGGCATGTAGCTAGATTTAAATCGAATTCAGCTCCATTCCAGAGTCACTCAGGCTTGGCTTCAGTTTTCAGATCGATTAACCCACTAGTGATACCCGAGAACCATCCTAAATACTTTTAACAAATTCCTTAGAAAAAGCTACAATTCACCTTTAAAAATATAAAGGTATTTTTGGAGACAGCACAAAAGTAGTAAAATGGTACGTCAGAATCCATACAATCTCATCCAAAAAGGTTGATTCTATGTTGTTGGTAGAAACAACTTTAGTTTACTATCCAATATAATAAAGCTGCTTTCCATAGAATTTAAGACCCTGAATTCAATAATATTTACTTTATGATGCTTACTATTTAGCAATTCAGTCACATATCAAAACAAAAACATCCACACATCGAAAGCCGTAACACTGCGAGATAATATTAAGTGACAAAAATTAGTGTTATTTAATCAGTCTTGAGATTTATTTATTAAGCTTCTCATATTCTCTCATCTGACTATTTGTGTATGTGACCTCACAGTTCAATTCTCATAAAAGTTGATGATTTAATGCGAATTGTTTTCAGTATATAAATTGCTGTCGGATCGTCAATATTTGTCCAGTTTCGTGTGAGGAATAAGCAACAAGAAAGCAAATTATGAAGGCGTAAAGTGCTTCAAACAAGATTTTTTTTTTGGACAAACGAAAATTAATAATCTTCTTATTTTCCTTCTAGCTTATTCCCGTTTGTGTTTCTATCAGCACTAGTACTAATATGTGAGATAGGAGCGGCAGTTGAGTTCACTTGCCATTACGGCTATCGACTTGATCATGGCTATCCTTGTCAAATAACGAAAGGTCTTATTGAGAGTGATAATGACTTACCAGCATCCTTTGTTGGTGCCCATCAGAATGGAAAAAGTGATGACGATTTAAAATTGATTTCATTCAGTGGAAATCGACATTTACGTCTCGATTATTTCCCCCGGGGTACATTTGAGACGTTTCCTCAACTCATCGATTTTAGTTTACAAAACTGTCAATTGAGTAATTTAAGAAATGGCGATTTTAAGAGTGCCGAAAATTTAAAGAACTTAAACCTAGACTTAAACAAGCTGAAACAACTGAATGCCTCAACATTCACTGGAGCGGATAAATTGAATTGGCTAAGCATGAGTGGAAATGAGATTGAGAAAATTGATAAAGATGCATTCAGTGGACTGTCTAAACTACAAATGCTTATTTTGTCACAAAATAAATTACATCAATTGCCACAATCGGTATTTGTCAAGCTGGTTGATTTGCAGGAAATTTTACTAAACTCAAATGCATTCGAGACATTGTCGACGGGATTATTTGAACGTAATGCCAAAATGAAGCGTATTTGGTTGCAAAATAATCGATTAAATGTAATTGAACCGCAACTGTTCGAAGGATTGACAAATTTAGCATTGGTGAATTTGAAAGATAACGCATGCATTGATGAAGAATATCGTCAACGTTATCGTGAAACGGAAAATTTACAAGCGGATTTGTTAGCTAAGTGTGCTCCGGGGAAGAGTGGTGTTGTGTAAAAAATGAAATGAAAGGAATTGAAGCTCGAGTACATAAAAAAAAGTTTTTTTTTTATGCCACTTGACATATGAATGCGATGCAGTTACTGTCAATGTTGATATGTACATATTTGATGTGTGCTTCAATAAACTCAATAAATGTAAATTGATTTGACGCAGATTTTTTTTGTCACTAAAAGTTGAACTCTTTTTTTTTAAGTGAAATATTTCAAATTCAATAATGATCGAAAGTGAGCAATACATGAACCTTGATGGAATATTGAAATCGTACGTATAAATTCATGAGCATCAAAATCATTCAAGCAGATTTATCAAAATTGTTATTGATTTTTTTTTATAGATTTTTGATTTTTAATTGGAGTGCTTTTATAGAATGATTTTGAGTGACCTGCAATAATTATTATTGAAACCTGATTCTAAATTTACTTCGTTGACTGATGCATCTATTGGGCATCCGTAGAGAATGTTCGAACCAGCTCTATCATTTAAACCTTTTTGTTGATTTGTGATATTAAAAACCATAGCTAGAATTTGAGGAAATTTTGGATGGAGTCGAGTCGACCCCACCTTAAAAAAATCGACAAAAATCTTGAGTCGACTTGGTGCTCTGTTAAGAACCCTAGTGTGTAGAACTCTAGCGTCTTCTGTCCCTGCAACTTCTGATTGCTTCTGAAGAAGTTATAAAGTGTTCTTGATAATCCTTAGAATTTTTATATAATATTAATCAGTACCTATCCAACGCCAAGCTAACGTGAGTATGGCATGGAGCTAGATTTAACAGACTTGTGCTTTTCGGGCTAGTCATCAATACTACTACGAACATTATGCAATCGTATCATCGATCAAAATATTATTACGAAATCTGGTTATCCAACTTTCCTTGATTTTAATTACGAGTTGTATTGATATTATAGTAAAATTGTTTAATCACACATGAACTTGGAAATTCAATTTAAAATGAGGAAGGAGATTATTTTTTTATACTTTAGTAATATTTGCCGTTCTTTCGGGAGAAAAGGAGCTGATGTGATTTGTCTGATATAAATGTTCTTCACAATGATGTCTAAATTTTGATTTGGCGTATTGAAGCCAATTACACTTCATACAATTCTTTTGTCTTCCTAACTCCCATGAAATAAACAAATATTCCTATTTTTGCATGACACTCGCTAGATTCATTAAAAAGTCAATTTTTAAAACTGAAACTTTTTGGTTCAAAAGGAAGACAAATCGGCAAAGTCATACTTTCAGCCATTCTACACGTCTACCATCCTTTAATCACATCAATTTAAAACCCCAATTCTGCTGAAAAGTTGTCGGCGAAAAAATAGAAATTTAGCTATAAATGTACAAAACTATTCATCAACAAACTTGACTATCAACATATCATGACTATTCCATTCAATTTTGAATGGCAAGTCTATGAATTCATAGATTCTATACACGATTCGCTTTATCTTTGTTCAATGGCTGTTGAGAGTAAAAAGCAGTAGTAGTTGCAAGGCTGTTCATTCATATACGCATCTACTATGATGTAATTAAAATGTACAGCTATTCAGAATCATTTAAGTTCCGTGTCAAAACCAAAAAAGTAATGATAACAGCTCATAAAATAATTAAAATCCTAATTAAATTACCATCTATTTTTGTTTATATGTATTTACATCAATAGCATAATGTGTAAATTGTTAATTACATTAGTTGATAATAAGCTTTAAATTTTTGATGTTTTTAAAATTATATTTTCACTTTTTGCTCAAAAATCATTTATTATTTGATAGTTTAGTCAAAATTTGTCATGAATTTTTAATTAAAATGTACTTAATTAAATGAGATTTTCCGAAAATTCATTTTGTTCATTGAAAGTTTTCTAATTATGCGAGTGAGGGAACTGTAGAAAATTCAAATTGCAATTAAGTCTTCCTTAGCATTGAGCTTTGAAGTAATTAAACAAAAAAAAAACTTTTTAAAATTTGTAAGTGCTGCAAACATTTTCATATCATGTGTCAGCATAAAGCACTTTAATTTCAAGAGTCTTTTGTTCAAACCATTCCCAACATTACTTTTATTTAAGTTGAGATAAAGAGACAAAATAAATTTTCAAAATGTTCAATCAAGAACAATCTTATTCAGTGTTTGTAATTTATTTTATGAACTTACCTTTCGGGTATAATGAAAGAATCTTTTTGGCGCACTTTTTATTTGAAATGTTAAAATTTTGAAAACGTTTTGGGCTAATCGTCTATCAGAAATTACAATGATGGTAAGAAGCGGCTAAATTCCAACGTAAGACACCTGTAATTAGCAGTCTTTAGGGATCGATAACTGTCGATGATAGATTATAATGGCAATTGCCCGCTTGAACAGCTTTCGAAGATTTTAGTGAATAGGTAATGATTTTGACGACACCTTAAATGGAATTTTTTCCCTCAACTGTCAATGTTTTAGAACTTTTACATATTCCAAAGAATTTACCCCAACTTAACATACAAAAGCACATGTTATGACGCAACCCTCCTTCTACTTACTTACTTCGCTGGCCGTACAGATCGATTGTGATCCATTTCCTTCGGAAGATGGCGCCTGAAGCTGAACCAATACCAAATACAATACAGTCTCTGTCAATAGCTTCTTTTCAAGTGTTCTTGGGACGTCCACGTGATCTATTTTCATCTACAAAAATATTCTTAAAGAATTTTTTAATAAGAGCTTCATTCTACTCACAATCGATAAATGCTCTTTAAACACATGTAAACCTTAAAACTTTTACACTAAAGCCATAGTTCTCTTTAGAAAAGCAAACTTTTTCATATTGTTTTAAATCTCATCTTCGACTTCTACTCTTAATTTCCTGAGAAAGCAAATCATGACATTAAATTTGATTTTTAATTAAAATTTTTTCTTTAGATGAAAAACGATTTTTCTTTTCTTTTTGTCTTCCTTTTATCTTTGAACGATATTTCATAGAGCTATACATTTTCCTTAAGGCTATATTGTCTATTTAAATTTTCTAATCAAGACAAAAGTTGGTATGCTGAATTTAATAAATGATTGAAGTTAATGATAGAAGTAAATTTGTTTCTTAAATAGAAGAAGTTTTCAATTTAAATAAATAAATGGAGCGTTTAAATCTTATGATGATGTTGTGATGATGAGGAAATGGTTGTATCTATTCTGAGAACATAGTCAAAATTACAATTTCTACAAAACTTCAAAACTACTTTACAGTCCCAACCTATTTCCTAGTTATTTCTTATAATTGGTTTAGCAAGTAGTGGGATGGGGGGGGGGGGGGGGGGTGGGTAGGTTTATTTCATAAATTCTTTTTTCTTTTATATTGACTGCACTTTTGTTTCTTAACATTTATCATTTACATATATCATTAAGTCAAGGAGCAGTTAGAAGCAGTAAGACAATCCGTTCATGTTCCCGCGCCACGCTGTAAAGTTTAGCTCCGTGGAGCATAGTTTGAGAAACACTGATTTATATAGTAATTTTAGTTTCTTTTCAAAACGACCTTCAAAATTCGTTACGATATCCAAAATCATCGTCATTGATTCCACAATCTTCCCAGAAAGTCAACACAAAAATTTTCCCCATTCGAAAAATCTTTTTATGCAAAAAAAAACCTAATTACAGCAGGAGCAGCAAAGAAAAAGAACTGCGACGACACAAACAAAAGAGATTAATTGAAAATCAATTCAATATTCAGAATATAAATAATCATCGTCTGTAGTATCTTAAACGGAATATTCCAAGAATAGTAAATAAAGCTCATCTCAGTAAAAGAGCAAAAAAAAAGATAATTAAATTTTCGCTTTTGTGATGCTACTCTGATAATGATAATGATGATGAAACACAATTTCGTCATGCTCGAAATATAAAAGAAGACTTTCCAGAACTGTATGAACATGAGCAGAAATAAAATCTTACGACTTAGAGAGGGTAAAAAGATAATGTATTGAGCAAGGAAAAGAGATTGAAATTGGATAATGGATAGCTAAATTAATTTTAAGAAATGTATCAAAAGACTTTCTTAATCCTAACTAGGTTTCATTTGTTCAAAAACATTCCGCTCCATTAAGCATTTTTTAGGATATTCTGACAGTAGTTTTGTGTGATGTTTGATGTGCAGTTTGGGTGAAGGATTGAATGAGATATGATGAGATTTGATTTGTTTTAATTAAGTATGTACGACGCTTTATTAAAAGGATGTTTAACCTTATGATAGTCATTTTGCTATCCTACATAATTATAATTAAAATGCCAAAGGACCAGACTCGTTAATGTATATAATGTCTTGACCCGAATGGCACAAGTCGGTTAGTTGATCAGAAATCCGGCAAGCTTGGCGCTAGATTTCTATTCGATTATCCAATTTGAGCTTTTCGGGTGATATATCTTCCTTATCCTTCAAATAAAGTTTCTGTCAAATTTTCTGCTTTGTAGCTTCCCTAAAATTCTTTAAAATTCCAAACTTAATCATCAAAAATGCTTTTTATCTTACTTTATCCTTAATCATCCATTATAACTTCTCCTCTATTTTTCTAGTGGAAAATTTCTCATCTTCTTTCTTCTCAAGAGAGAATGTCCAACAAAAGGCATTTAATTTAATTTATAATGTTAAGAAATCAGTTTTTCTATTGTTTGCGTGTCATTTTGCGTCCCTTCTTGTGTCTGTCATCTCTCATAAGGATAAATCTGGTCATTATGATTAAAAAAAATTAATTTCTTCTTATTATTCTAACTTGACGAGGAAAATAGAATGAAGCATGCGATCGTCCTTGTCATTATTACTGAATATTATTCCGTAACTTGACTTGATTAAAGATTAAAATAAATTTCTCATATTGAGACATTTCCTGACAATTTTTCATTCCCCCACCAACTTGAAGTCGACGGTTATGGACTCCATTGTTTTTGATTATATAATAAATACAAATAAATATCCTTGACTGCTTCATCCTAGTGCCATTGCCACTTAGTCCTTTCTCGATAATTAATTAAAACAGATTATTCTACTGGGTTTGGTTGGATGCTTAATACTTTAAGACAGACTTTATATTTATTTATTTTCATTTCTCATAAAAAAGGAAACATTGTGTGGGGCGAGGGAGAGGCAAATAAGATGAGAAACTCATGTTTGCTCACCATTGATGCCTCTGGCAATATTTTCTC